CCTCTCAACTCCTTTCCTGGTTTTCCCTCCCAGATTCCCAAGGCTCCTGCCCCCCTCCTCTTCAGGCCTTCCTTCACCAATCTGGGGGCAAGATTTTTATTTTTCTTTTTTGAGCTGGTCTCAGTCAGGAGCTAAATGCTGTTAAGCACACACTCAGGGTTTCCTCCTAGCTTGCAACATAAGGCCCATAATTATAGAAGAGCAGTGCAGTGGGGGAATTCCCGCTTACTATTTATCATGCAAATGAGGAACAATATAGACTATGAAAGGGAGAGTGGGTGAGGCAGGAACTGAGTGAAGAGTTGGCCTCTCTGAGTCCCCTGGGAGGCAGAAAATCAAGACTTAGAAAATTTTAGGTCAGCCCTAGAAATTCCACACGTAGGCTGTGACTTCAGCTATCCCTTATTCAAGTTTGAATGAGACTGGTTCCAAGGATTGGACCTTGGGCAGGGCACATAACCTCTAAGGCTCAGATTCTTCACTAGGAAAATGGATGTAATTATAAAACCCACTGCACAGTGTCATTGAGTGAAAAAAAGTAAGAGAAGGTAAAACCACCGCCAATCGGTTTTGATTCATCTCACTGCTCTATCTCCAGTTGAGACGTCAGTGTCACTCCCCAGGTCCAAATCCCTTTCTACTAGAAGAGTTACCTACTTGCCTGTCCCCCGTGAGCACTCTGTTTGTCTTTCCTAAATTGACACAAACTACACTGGCATTATAGTCTACAGAGTTGTGCTGTTAACCCAAAGACCATGCCTCTATGGTGGTTCAAATTCACTGAGGACTCTGGGAGAAAGACAGTCTTCTTCCGTGAGATTTACAGCCTTGGAAACTCAAAGGAGGTCGACTATGAGTCGGTTCTGACTCCACATCAATGAGCTGAGTTGACTCACCTGTTAGTCTCTTTGCCCAAATCACTAGGTCTTAAGTTCAGGGCAGTATTATTCACCATCACAAAAATATGGAAACAACCCAAATGTCCAACCACAATCGAATACATTGAGACATTTTGGTGCATTCACATTATGCTGAAATACTACACAGCACGCAGGAGCAATGGTTTTTTAAAAATTACTGCCTAACTTGGGAGGGACTGGAGAGCATTATGCTAAGTGAACTAACTCAGTTCCGTAAGGACAAATACTGTATAAGACCATTATTGTAGAAATGGATAGTTAGTAAACCGTGTATGAGGATCCAAGGTGTGGGGGGGAGATCAGAATGGTGTGGATGGGCAGGGGAGGGGTTAATCATGGGGTCACACAATTTGATAGATGGAGGGAGGCATGGGTTAAGGAAATGGGAAAATTCTGGTGTGAAAAACATTGTATACAAACTTTGTAAGTAAACCAGTATAAAAGAAAAATTTTATTATTAAAAAAAAAAGAATAAAAGAAACTTCAAAAATACCTTCCTACAGTCTTCTCACCTGAAATGGGGAAAGTGAAGCCCTCAGAAAAGGAGGAGCCTGCCCATGGTAATGCTATGATTAATGCTATGAATAGAAGACAAATATCTCGACTTCTAACCCAGTGTTTTGTCATTTGCACAGAAGTCGGCCACCTCCTATTTTCTTTTTTCTTGTTGTGTGCCATCAAGTCAGATACGACTGGCACAGGAGACTGCTCATCCTTCTCCGCAGAGCATCTGGTGGATTAAAACCTCGTGCCTTATTCCAAAATCAATCTCCATAATAGTCTATGTGTTTCCTACTGCCAAAGGGGCCCTTTAGAGTAGTAAGAGAAGATCTTCACCCTGAAACCCACAGCGTCCCTTTTCAGCAGGAAGTAGCTAAGAGAATACGCCGTCCCCTTTTCCTTATGACTCAGGGTGAAGTCTCTCTCAGGGAGGAGTGATAGGGAATGGCAAAGGATACACTGACAAAGAAGATTAATCAGAACTGGCTTTGACAAGCACTGTGGCATTTGGACAAGAACAATCTGGGAGGAGGGTGGAGAGAGTGGTGCAGCAATGAATGAGTGGAAGCCCAGAATCTCTGTAAATGTTTATGAAAATTAATAAAATATAATTATAGAAAAAAAAAACAAAAACAAAAAACCTCGTGCCTTTGGGATTACAGTGCAGCTTCTTGCCACAAGGCCACCAGAGCTCCCTTTACCACCTCTTTCTAATGTTTCTGAGTCCTCATTCTGAACTGGTGGCTCTGGTTCCAACTTTATGTTGAACTGAAATCTATCCCCAATCATCTTTCCTTCAGCTCCTAACCTCTGCCCCAATCTATTCATTTAAAACATCTGTAGAATACAGCACTTTAAGTTGGATTTCTGTATTTAATCTCTAGCAGCTGTTTTCTAAGAGCCTCAGAGAGGTAGTTTCTAGCATAGGGTCTGAGAGTTGACAGGTTGTTGAACCAACAGCCAACCTCCAACATCATGACCTTGTCTCCTCAGTTTGTCCATTTTTCACTCCTTGGAATTAAGCTCAGACCCTATCCTGACCCCATCACCTGCCAGAGCCTTAGCGCCCAGGGCCATGTATCAGTGACTCCTGGGTCTGTAGAAAGGAAGCCGTCCCCACTCCTCAGCACGCCCTCCTTCCTCTCCCACCACCCCGCCTCCTCCATTTCCTGTTTCAAAAGCAGCCAAGCCAAAAGAGCCATACAGACAACCCACTCTGCATCTTCAAACACCACCAGGCAAGAAAGAATCCAAGATCCTCTTGAAATGAAGGACTTCCTCTTCATTCTACTCACTGTCAGCTTTCTGCTCATGATTCAGGTAAGAGTGGCCCCTCAGTTCCCTTGGCATCACCACCTAGAATTCCCCAGATTTTCTTGGGACAAGAAGGAATGCGGGCTTCTAGGGCCAGGCCTTCTGCTTTGGGAGCAAGGGCAGGCAGACCCCAGCAGGATAACGAGGGACTCGGTAGCCTGGCTGCCTACCCTTCCAGACCTACTGCTGTAGTCAGACTGCATAGGGCTGCTCCCCAACAAAAGACTTGTATGTTGGGGAGCACTTACTGGGAGGAAGGCACACTGGAGCACCCGAAGGATGTTGTGGAGTAAGGAAGTAAGATAATTAGGAAGATAGTCCCAAATGGGGATGGCATCAACCCCTTGCAGGAAAGGTCTGCTGATGAGGGGCATGAAACTGACAAGCAGAGTTGCTCTAGTTCTGTTGGTGGTAGCGACCTCACAGGAGGGAACAGTCTTGAGTGTTTGGGGAATGCCCAGTTCTCCAAAGAAGAGAGAACTCTCCCACTCCAGAAACAACTGGATCTCAAAATTAATCGCTATGGGAGGCACCGTAGAGGGTATTCATCAAAACAAGAGACAGAAGTCACCAAGTTCTCGAAGAAGACCAGCTTGTTCAAGCACCAAGTGAAACCTGATCATCGCCAAAACCAGCTTACTCTCCATCAAGAACAGTTTGATCAAACATCTAGAACAGCTTGATCACCATCTGCCCATTTTTCAGCAACGACGTTATATCTTCTCCACCCACTTCCCCATCTACCCACTCATCCGCTGTTTACCAAGTATCACTTCACTCCATCATCTTCTGTGACCTTCACAACTGTGAAGGACTCTTCCCCTATGAAGACAATAAGGAAACTGAGGCTTTTAGAGGTTACAGCCCTCACTAAGAGGTTATAGTCCTATAGTAAGAGGTTACAGCCCCTCAGTAAGAGGTTATAGCCCTCAGTAAGAGGTTACAGCCCTTAGTTAGAGGTTATAGCCCTCAGTAAGAGGTTACAGCCCTATAGTAATAGGTTACACCCCTATGGTAAGAGATTACAGCCCTATAGTAAGGGCACAGCTTCAGGTTCTGAGTCTCCATAGAACACAGAGACCCATGCCGTCATGTGTTTTTCAATGACAAAAGATCCAGTGGCCAGAGAGCAATGAAATGAAAGTTCTGTTGTGGGTGGGAGTGGGCCAGAGACCACCTCTGTCCCAGGACCTTGTAGCAGAGGTAGTGGCTGCATGTGAAAGAGAATGCCATTTTACTGGCAGAGTGTGTCTTTAAAAAACAAGCATGGCACTCAAGTCCCCCTGAGCATCCCTCACATCTTCTCTTGCAGGTACAAGCGGAAGGGGCCTTAAACCAGACCACCCCCAAAGCCCACAACGCAGCCCATGCATCGGGCCTGGGTACTAGCAGTGTCTTCCTCTTCCTGACCAGTACCCTCATCTGCCTCTTCCATCTCAGCTGAGGCGACATGCCTCGCCTCTCGTCCCTGAAGCAGCTGCTACCATGATGAGCAAGAAGACTCCCTCCCTGCCTAATCTATGGGAGGGGCTGATGACAGAGATCAGGAGGTTGTGTGAATCCATAAGGCAGCATCTTAGGGGCAATGGCTAAAACAGGGAGATCTTGATATGGAGGAGAAAGTGCCATGCAGCTGTGGATCAATAAAGTTGTGCTTGGAGCGGGTCCTTTGTGTAGTTTTTGGACATTGCAAGGCCCTAGTAGTGGATTTGCAGCAGCACCCTTCATGGCTCCATCAGCTGGAAGGGTAACAGCAGGAAGATTTCCCACTCCAAAGTCCAAGTGATGATGAATCTTTCCCTAAGTATCACCTTGCAGGGTGAGACCCAGACCTGCCATCCTCTCTTATTTTTACATTTGCTTTGCCAAACCTTTTGTGTTTGGGATTAATGATGGTCCCAGAGGACCCTTCCCTCCACCTAGACCCTGAACGGCTCAAGTTACAAAGGCTCAAAGAGCCTTTCACTCCTGCAAGACTTGGTATAGAATAAGATTTTCAAAACAGCATTTGGGGTGATTGCAGAAAAGACCGCATGCATCGGTTAGTCTGGTCCAAGCGCTCCCTCTGCTGGCAGGGAGAGCCTTGCATCTGAGCCTTAGAACCGAAGCCTGGCAGGGAGAAGCACACTCAGAGTGCTGGTGCCAACTCCCACCTCCCGAATATCAAGGTGGTACAGAAACAAAGGCATCTGGAAATATATTAGAAAACAGCTATGTTACAACAACAACCATGACAACAAAACTCTGTAAAAACATCTCTTTGGTAGCCTCCAGGGCCCCAGTGGCAGTGGTGGTGTAGGGAGGGTCAAAGCACGTGGATGGTCCAGATCTGAGAGGGCCTGTCCCTGGCCAGCTCCCAAAGCACCACGTGGTCCCGGTCATAGCCCCGGCCTCCTGTGGGAAGGTGGTAAGAGATGGTTAGAGACAGCTGGGGTCCCTGCTGCCCTCAACTCTCCCTCAGGTGATCTTTCCATCACTTTACCCTTTACATCCAGGATCCGATCTTCAAACATCTGGCTGTAGATGTGGCCTGATTCCTTGATGCTCCATGTCTGGCGGGGCAGGCGGCTCTCAGCCCAAAGTACCACCTTGGAGCCTTTGCTGGGAGACCCAATGACCTGCAGACTCATAGTGGGGGCCACCTGAGGGCCCAGGTGGTCATCAGGCACTGTTCCTTCCCAGAGGAACTCCCAGTCCTGACCCCAGTCATCTTCAACACACCCAGATTTGAATCCTGGCCCTTAGGGACTGTGTGACCTTGAGCAAGACTTTATCCTTCTGATTTTTGTGTTCCTCGGGGATGAGGTTGGTGAGTGGGAAAGTTTAAGTTGGGAGTCACAAAAGGGCTGGAGAAACAGTAACTTCTCCAGGAAGCCTTCTGTGACCAACTCCCAAAGAACAGGCTTAAGCAGCAGATACGCCTCAAATCCCAGCCCCTCTCATCAGCTGTTTAATTTTCAGCAATTAACCTCTCTGTGCTTTGGCTTTTTCACTTGTGAAATGCAGGGCATAACAGGGTCTGCCCTATAGGGTTCTGTAATGATTACACAAAGCATTTATGCAAAGGGCTTACTGTAAGTGCCTGGCACACAGGAAGTGGTCTTCACATTACAAGTAAAAACCAAAATGCTTCCAAAGCCTTACACACCAGTTAGAGTTGTTCTGATCTCATCTCCTGTTATTTTCTCCTTCACCTATGTCACTTCAGCCACTCAGGTGTCCTTACTTAATTCAAAAGACTGTTAGGCGTGTTCTTACCCTAAGGGCCTTTGAACTGGCTGTTCTGCCAGGAACACTCCTCTCAGATGTTCATGCCTGCAAATGACACCTCAAGAAGTCTTCCCTGACCATGCCATTAAAAACTGTTAGCTGTTCCACACTCCCAAATCTCCCTCCTTGATTCATTGTTCCCTCTTTAACTCTTTATATCATGTAAGCTACTATGCTGTTTTACTCATGTTTGCTATTTCTCATCTATCTCTCCTCACTAGCATATCGGCTGAAGGAGGGCTGTTCTTTATTTCTTCTCTCTGCTATTTTCCCAGCCCCGAGGACTGGGGCTAGTACACAGCAGGTGCTTAGTAAATGTCTGTGGTGTGAATCTGTCCTTATTTGTAGGGTGAAAGTCTTGTCACAGGATGTGAGAGCACGGAGGTCTATTCGAAGCTTCTGGGTCAGCATTCTTGTCTCCAGATGTTGATTAAGGCCCAGAGAAGAATATAACTTGCTCACACCCATAGCCCATATTCTTCTGTTCCCAGAGGTCCCAATGTCTGGACATATGTTCTATCTGACTCAGGGGTAGGTTCTGTTGCTGACTGCCCAAGTGACTCCCCAATTGGTCTTGTGAGTGCCTGGGTACCCCTCAATGCCTGGGGTACCTGATTCTTCAGTAGCCCATCCTCGTAGTACCAGACGCAGCTGCCTCCAGCTCTAGGGTCAGATACCACCACCCGGCCTGCCTTCATGTCTTCCACATGGTCCGGAACCGCCAGGAATCCCCCCAGGGCTGCATTCCAGAGGCGAAAATAAGCCCGGCGCTGGTGGGAAGGAGAACCAAACTTCAGAGTCCCTCTCCGGAACCTCATGGAATCAAGCCCCTAACCCGTCCTTTCTGTCCCTCAACTATCCTATCCATACTTTATTTTTTAATTTTTTTTATTATTTGTGTGTGTGTGTGTGTGTTTGTGTGTGTGTACCGTCATATCAGATCTGACTGGGACAGGAGGAGATTGTCCCTCCTTTGCCAGCAGAGCATCTGGTGGATTAGAAAAGCTCACCTCTGGGATTGCAGTGCAGCTTCTTGCCACTAGGCCACCAGAGCTCGCCTCCTATCCATACTTTTAAATCACCTTTTCTTTCACATATAGAAACTGGCAAACACATACACAGCACAAACACACAGTTCCATGTCTACAGAGCCACTCTATAGACATATGCAAACAGACACACTGACAGATACACTCATGATACGTGCGGCTGCAGTTATTCACAACAGACGTAAGCACAGGAACATGAAGCGCACAGCCTTACTCCATGCCAGACACGACTGTTAAAAAAGAAGGGTGTGTGGAGGAACCCAGATGTGCCTACACACTCCCAGGAAGACATGCTTACCCCTGTGTGTCACTGTGAGATGGCCACTGAACTACACACCAGGCCTGGCTCTACCACAAATCAGCCTGGAGTCAGGAGGGTGACGATGATCATAACAGAAATGGTACTCATCATTGCTAAGGCTTGTTGAGTAGCAACACATTCAAGCAAGGTTCTGAGGGTTTTATATACACTACTCATCTTCACTCCTCACAGCCATCCCTTGTTATACACTATCATCGTTTTAAAGATGAGGAGACTGAGATCCATGGAGGTACAGTACTTGCCCATGGTTGCAGTGCAAATCTTTGTCACTTCTCTGGGTCTTAATTTTCCCATCTGTAAAATGTAAGGGGTGAAGATAATCTCCAAGATGTCTTCAAGTAGTAATGGTGGGGTATGTGATTAAAGGGATTACATGGCTACTACCACCATGTAAACACACACACATTCACACCAGTATCACAAATATAAGCACACAGAGTCACAAACACACTCCCATGAATGCATGCACACACCCAGACTCACAGGAGAACTTGCAGAGCACACAGAAAGACACACAGACATAAATGGCATCACAGGCCAAGAAACAGCCTCAGACACTCACACACATGCAGACATACATATGAATGTGGTTCATATATGAGATAGGTTTTCAGACTGACATGGATAATCTTTCCCACCCCTCATCAAATCCACTAATTACTGAACAGCTAGGTGTTGAGTGAGGCCTTAGGATATAATATCAAAAACTCAAGCTCATTGCCATCAAGTCGGAACTGACACACCGCTGTCCCTCCAGTTGATTTTAGAGCTTGTAAATCGTACAGGAGGGTTTTGTCTATCTTTCTCTGATGGAGTACTTGGTGATTTTGAAGCTATTTTTAAGAATTTAACAATATTATAACTTAAAGTAATACTAAAGAAAAATTATACCTGTACATCAAACTTATAATTTAATGGACAGTGTTACTTCAGAGATTTTTTTTTAAATGAGTTAATTTAGAAAAAAATTATGTGGGGAAAATTATAACAATGTTTATGGTGGTTAATTTTGTGCCACTTTCTCTAGGATGTATTCCCAGTGTGTTGTCAAATAGTAGTCTAGAAATTGCTGTGATGGGAATTTGTGGATGAGATTAACTTATATTATTGGTTGATTCCGAGTAATGGTAATTCCCCTCAATAATGTGGGTGGGCCTTATCCAATCAGTTGAAGGCTTTATGAGCAAAAACTGAAGTTTCCAGAAGAGAAGGAATTCTGCCTCAAGACTGGAACATAGAAATCCACCATGTTACCTGAGTTTCCAGATTGCTGACCTATAGATTTCAAACTTTCAAGTCCCTATAATTTTGCGAGCCTATTTTTAATTTCACCCTTCCCCATATATATATATATATATACATACAGAGAGAGAGCAAGTGAGTGAGCATTCAACCAAGCACACTGGTGTATCAGTCAGGACTCTACAGAGAAATTGAAAAAAATTAATACACACATACACGCAAAGAAGCAGTGCGTGCATGTGTGCACACAAATAGAACCCATTTCTCTGCAGAATCCTGGCACACTGCTACATAAATCCTGAGTTTGGGAATCAGATCGATCACACCCAGACACACTACTCACTTGCTTGATGGGGTAGAGGGAGCCCACCCTCTGGGTGCCGCTATAGGTCAGCCAGTTGGTGATCTCACAGCTGCCCACCAGCCACTGGCGGCCTCTGAAGTCACTATGCTCACACAGCACCCAGCTGGGCCCAGCAAGCAAAAGAGGCACAGGGAGAAAATGACAGGTAAGTGGAGGAGAAAACACCGACATCCGAGCCTTCCTGCCTTCTCTTCCCTGTGGGGACTCTGCTGCCTAAAGTTAGGTCCTGGAAGGAAGTTTGGGGTATGCAAGGCCAACCAGGGTCCTGGAAGGCCAGCAATGTCCTGGAGGATGGGACCCCGATCTCTAAAAGACAGTGACTCTCAGTCTATGCTGCTCTCTCTTCCCTGGTTGGAGGGAGAGTGAGCATGAGGGGAGAGAGGGAAGAGACCAAGACAGACTTGGAGTCTCACTCATCACTCCCGTCAGCCCCCCACACCCCTCGGGCTTCCCACAACCCACTTACATGCCCCCCTTGATCCGCACAGACAGCACATGGTTGTTGAAGCCCTCAGCTTGCAAGCTCCGCACCTCACCATTGAGCTCAATCTCCTTTCCTTCAAAACACTCCAGTCCATACAGGAAAATGGAGGGCTCTGAAAAGTGCTGGGGACCGGGGAGAGAGGAGGCATGGGGCCACATGAGGCCTGGTTCCAGAATCAGTCATATTTCAGGCTGACTCTTCTCCTGAGCTCTACTGACCCCACCATTCCCAGGATTCTGAGAAGCGGCTTGTAATGGAGATTCTCATTGCCCCTCAACTTTTCCCTGGTGATGGCACCTCTAAAGATCAATAGTCCCAAGTGAAAACTTAGGGTTCATTCTAGATGTTTCCTTTTTGTCCCCACCATAACAACAACTCATAATAATAATAATACTGGTAATAAAAGCACTTCTCACTTATTCAAGTGCTTTACCTACTCTCACTGGAACTTCTCATTGACTCTAAAAGATAGATGCTATTATTACTTCCATTTAACAGAGAGAATTTGAGGCTGGAGAAGATAAATAGCCCAAAGGCGGGCTTCAAAATCATGTCTATCTGTCTGAGAGTCCAATGTGTAGTAGTTGTAAAGAGTTTGGACTCTGGTGCTGGCCGCATGGGCGAGAACCTGGCTCTGTCTGTTACCAGTTGGATACATTAAACAAGTTGCATAAGCTCTCTGTTTTACAGCTTACACATCTGTAAAAGAGAGATATTAACAGCAACATGTTTCACAGAGATGCAGCGAAGACCCTGGTACAAGGGAAGCCCTTTAAACCCTGCCCAGCGTGGAGCAAGGGTCAGGAAATGTCAGCTGTCCTGAGTAGAGGCCAGTGCTCTGGTCTGTCCAATCAGTCACCAAGTCCTTCAAACTCTATCCCTTTAATATGGCCATGAGAGTTCTTTCCATCTCTTGCCTGGTCCAGGAAACCACCATGTATTCTGGATTACTATAGCGACAACCCATCACTCCTCCAGCTAAGCCATCTCTCCTTCCCCAAAAGAACCATAATCACAACAGTGCTAACTTCCATAAAAAGCAGTCTCTCCTGTCCCTGAGCATTTCTATATTTAGACACAACACTCTTCCTTATTGGCCATGTGGTCATGGGTTCCTTGAAGGTTGGGTGATATCTAATTTCTTATGTGGTCTCTATTTCAGGACCAAAAAGCACTGATGACTAATCATTTGATTGTTAACCAAAAGGTTAATAGATAAAACATACGAGCCTCCACTAGACCTGGTGATCAGCCCCTGTACAGACTGTGGTGTTGGCGGTGTTATATACCATAGATTTAGAATCAGCTCATAGATGACCATCCAGTAGGTTTTCAGAGGCTATAAATCACATGAGAAGAGATTGCCCATCTTTCTTTTGCGTAGCCACTAGTGGATTCGAACCAGGTGCATTTGGGCTGGCAGCACAAATCCTTACCACTAATTCACCAGAACTCCCTCTGTAAAGACTAAAGCCCAAGAAATGCTTGAGGCAGGTCTATTCTACTGTCCAGGGTTATTATGGTAGGAATCAACTCTACAGCATACAACATAGGACTTTAGGACTTATCTCAACAGCAGTTAGTAAGTATTTAGTATACTGAACCAACTTTGAAGCCCCAGAGTCAAAGGAGATCTGGGTGATTGGGGAACAGTTACACCAGAAAGCTTTGCAATAAGAAGGGGTTCTGTGCTCAGGTCTTGCCCAGCAGCTCCCCCTGTCTCTAGGGTTATCCTCTAGCGGACAAGTTTACTCACCAGAGGTACCTTCTGTAGAGAGCCCAGCACTGTGGAAGCCAGGCAGCCCATGGCTGTTAGAGTGGGGAATTCGCCCTCAGAGAGAATGTGCTGGTCACCTTCAAAGTTCTTCTCATCAAACAGGATCCAGCTGAGGAAGGGGAAAAGAAGAGAAGGTGAGTGGATATGTGAGCTTATCCCATTCCCATCCTGCTCAGGGCTCCCTGAGGTACAGAAGAGCACATGTGGACTTGATAGTGCACCCTCTGCCCTTAGTTCAAGAGAGGTCAGAGAGAAATAGGTATTGGACCAGCAGGGACTAAGGTCAGATTTAAGAAAGATTTAAATGAAATCCTACCACCCCCACGGATGGGGATTGTCAATATTAAACAAAACTTCATGTGCAAATCACTCAGTAATCTCAGTTCCCAGGCATCTAGTTTAAGGACCGGGATCTCTAGTGGTTTGTGCTGCAGGAAGATGCACTGATAAACCAAACACAATAGCTCTCTAGTAGTTTAAATTAACCAATGGTTTCAGGAAAGAAAGATGGACAATCTCCTGTGCAATTTACAGCTTCCAAAAACTTACTGGATGGTCAGCAATGAGGTTTGTTTTGTTTTGTTTTTAAGATCTTAAGTGCTCTTAAAAAACACGAAATGACACACACAGTACAGGGATAGTTACTGCAGCACTGTTTGCAGGAATGTGATAGTGAATCGTGCCTATGTAGGAGGAAAATATTTTCATGCTAGTAGTACATATTGAAGCATTTACTGAAGAAATTTTATGAGGGGTCTGTAACTTAAAACAAGATACATATACACAAAGCAGAGGACAGATGAAACAAGATTGAGATTATAATTTATCAAGGTATGCATCTTTTCTATTGTCCATTAAAATTTTATGGTTTTTAAGACTGAATGGACTCGACAGCACTTAACAACAATAACAACAAGATTGAATGGCTCAGGAAAGAAAAGACAGTCTCAAGGCGGCTACGGCAAGAAATAATCTTTTAATGGGAAAAAAAAAAGACCTTTCTTCTGCAGACCAGATTCCCAAACTACCAGATTCCCAAACTAAGTACTCCAAAGGAGGTGTGCCCGGATCTGTATCTCCAAGGTTCGCCCCCTCACTTACCTGCCACCGTGGACCCGGCAGGACTGGGGCTGGAAGGAGAGGGGCAAAGAGGCCTGGTCATCCTCGAAGGAGATGTGGTCGCCAAGGAAATTGGGGCTGGAGAAAAGCTGAATCTGGGGGCACAAAGGGGAAATGTGAACGTTGGGGGAAAGAGAATGGTGAAGAGGAAAGGTTTAATATCAGAGGGGGGGAGGTGTATGCCCCTACCAGTATCCTACAGAATCTCCTCACCTTTGATACAAAGTGCAGATTGTGCTCCCCGACCTGAAGAGAGGAACCAAAACTTAGTAATTTGAGAGGAGTACCAACCAGCCCCTAGTTTCAACACCTCGGGTTCTCCACGATTCATACCCTTTAGGGGCCTCGCCTTCTCCGGCACTAGCTCCGCCCTCTCCTCGAGGCTCCGCCCCCTCCAGGGCTCCGGGTCCCCTCCCTCCAGATTCCTCCTCCCCCAGCGGGGGCGTGTCCTTCACTCCAAGACACGCCCCTCGCAGCGGCCCCGCCCGCCGAGGCTGCACACACACCTGCAGGACCGGCTGTAGCGAGGCGAGGGCGCTGTTGCCCAAGCCCCAGTCGTCGCAGTTGCGATACACGCCCTTCTCCAGCACGTACTGCTCGCCAGAGAAGCCCACCTCCTGATAGGCCACCCAGCTGCAGGAGGGGCGGGGAAACGTCAGCGGAGGCGGAGCCGGCGCCTTCCCTGGGACCACCTCCGTCCCGCCCTGCTCCAGTGACACACGCCCCACTTACACGCCGCTGAGCACGTTAATGGCCTGAGTGCTCGGCCCGTGGCCTGCTAGCTCCACGTCTGACAACGCCTCGCTCACTTCCACTCCAGGCCCCTCGAAATCCATGGCCTCAAACAGCACCAAGGCCGGGTCCCCGAAATCCTGGACCCCAGGGGCAATCAGGCATTAGTTGGAGTCAAACGCTCCCGCCCAAGGACAAAACCAAGACTCCCAGAGAGGCAGCCCACCCGGGGAGTTTGGGATGAGACATCCGTGCTGCCTGGGCAAGAGTAGCAGAGAGAAAGGCTAGACCTCAGGGATCATTTCCAGGTGCACTGGAGAACGAGATGAGGGACACAAGTTGACCCTTGTAATGGTACAGAAGGAAATCTTGGTTGTGGCCACAGGCCAATTGCTTTTGCTTACCGTTCGGATGACCCGCAGAGATGTCAGCACCTCATCGTAGCCTCCCCAGTGTGACCAGTCGGCGTACTCCCCCTCCTCCAGCAGGTACTGGTGGCCTCGGAAGCCCTCCTTCTCGTAGCCCACCCAGCTGAGGAAGTAAGTTTATGAATAAGACAGCTGACCCTACTTCCAGGTATGGGGAATGAGGTAGAAGAAAGGATGATGAGTTCTTACCAGCCCCCAAGGACCCGCAGGGACCCAACAGAGGCCAGGTTGGGGCTCTGGCTGTCCTCAGGCTGCTGCAAGTTGTAGATGTCCCGGCTCACTTCCCAGCTCCGGCCCTGGAAATCTGGGGCCTCATACACCACAGCCTTTGAGAATGGAGGGGTCAGGTTGGTGGGGAATGGCCTACGTCCAAACATACAGCCAACCGAGAGCCCCAACTCTTCACTGATCCCCAGGCCTTCCTCAATCCTATCCACTCTGACCTTTGAGGTGACACATCAAAAAATCAGTTCTATTGAACCCATCAGACTCCATCCTCCCAGACCCAGCATCTGACCCCAAAGCCTTCCAGTCCCAGTCACAGCAGCCAAACCCTTACCACATACCCTCTCTGACCCGGACGCACTTACCTTGGGCTCCCCTGGCCTTTCCACGCTGGGGCAACCCTGCGGAGGAAACAGAACTGAGACATGAGCCCAGAGGTGGAGAAAACAGATGGGCTAGGGACCCAGAATATCCTTGATCCAGAGACCCTTGAAAATTAGCATTCCATGTCCTGCCTCTCCCCTAATCCTTTAATCTAAGCCTATCTCTTCTATACCTCCCCATCTCCCCATATAGCATCCCCCCCAGGCCTTGCTTCTTCCCACAGATTTCATCAAAGTATGGATGTGCCCTGCCCCTTACCAATGTCACAGGCTTCAGGGAGCCCACAACTGGGTCAGAGATGCCACAGGCCTCCAAGTTGTGGTAATTTCCAGGCTCCAGGATACAGGGAGTATCCTCAAAGAAGGGTTTGGAGTACAGCAGCCACCTGTGAGATAGCAAAAAAGCCACTGCATCCCAGACCCCAAGGAACACAATGAGGAATGAGAGGGAGGATTGTGAGGGAGAAGATTCAGGGAGACCTCTATCTAGGGGCATCTGGAGGACCTTGATCTCTACAGTGCTGACCCAGCCCCTTCCCTGAATCTTACTCAAGAGAAAGCAAGTTTTTTTCTAGCATGTATCTGCTTAAAACCCCCAACAGAGGGAGTAAAACCTCTTATTTCCCCATTACCCTCACAACAAAGCCCAGCAACACAAAGACCTGTTGATCTAACCTCTCCCTGACTTTGTTCTCACATCACACCACTTGTCCCTTACACTGGTCCGTCTGAGCTTTCAAAGTCTCACCTCTGGGCCTTTGAATGAGCTGCTTCTTCTGCAAGATGGATACAGTCTTTTCCATGTTCACTCAATTAGCAAATACTTAGGGGGCAACTATGTCATGCCAGACCCTAAAAGATAAGCCCTCTGCCCTCATTTAGATTTAAATTTAATTTTAGGTTAAATTCCTCAGAGAATTTAGATTTTTCTCTGGGCCACCCCAGATCATCCCAGCTCATGTACCTCATGTGGAGACACCCTTTTCTCCAGGAAGACCTCTGTGACCACCACCACCAGCACCACCATGGCTGGTTTAGTGTTTTTCCAAGCTTCTGCAGTCATGTGTCCCCACTCCCAACCCCTGACCTGGCAGCCTGACACTTTGAATTGCTGCTGTACCTTTATTTGTCCCCATCAGTAGACTGAGCACTGAGCAACAGTAAAACTCTGTCCCCAGTAACTAGCACAGTGAGTATTAAATGAAAGGATCCTAGACTTACAGTCCTGCGGAGACAGTAATAGATGCCACCTGCAGGGGTGTCCCCAAACTCTGGGGGTCCTCCAAGGCCTGGGTTAGCTTTAGTTGCTCTCCCTTGAGGTCCTCCTCAGAGAACAGGCTGATCTCTGGGGTGCTGTAGTGCTGAGGAAAGAAACTGAAGTGTTAAACAACCCCTTTTGGGGAACCACCTACCCCACACCTGCTTCCCCAAGTGTGTCCATCCAGGACTCCAGGGGGCTTCTAGAAACCTTTGCAGCCATCTCTCCCGGATGAGGTGGGAGATCTCAGTAAGGTTTCAGGCCCAGCAGGCCCTGCCTCTGGATACTCTGCCTTTCAAGCTGGTGGAGAGACCTATAAGACTGACAGATGCTGAGATCAACTTTGTCCTTCCTTATACACTTCTGCTTGTGCCCAGACTGACTTCCACCTTCATCTCATCCCAGAAAGCAGCAGGCTCTCTGCGTTCTGGATGTTCTTCTACATTAAGACCATTTTCCACTCACTCCTCAAATGGAGCTTTGGTGGCCTAGTGGATATGGAGTTGCTCTGCTACGCCAGAGTCAAGCAGTTTGAATCCAAGTGCACCAAGGAATAAAGATGGACAATCTCCTCCTGTGTGATTTATAGCCTCTGATTCCAACTTAATGGCAATGAGTTGAGTTCATGAGATGCTTATGAAACATTAACTAAATGTAAGATACTTCCTGGTGTCATTTATTCCACGTTCCTTGTGGCTGTAAGTATTCTACTCAGATGAGGAAAGTGAGCTCAAAAAAGTCAAGCCATCTTCCTTAAGACACTCAGCTCGCATAAGTAGCAAAATTAAAAATAAACGTTGCAGCTTTTGTTTACTATTGCCGTCCACATGCCTGGCACACAGTAGGAACCTAAATAATTACTAAGAGAATCAAATTAATCCAGATCCATCAGACTTCAAAGCCTTGTTTTCTCTCTTGTCCCTTGTTACCTCCCACACAAAGAGGAATTTATGGCGAGAGGCTCACAATAAATTATCCACAAACATCTGGGTGTTTCTGAGAAGCTTTGAAAACTTCTGTTTACTCCTTTGCCCAACTGGGCCAATGCCCTAGTTAAGATTCATCCTCGCTTGTCATCTCCCACCATGATTATAACAGCTCTGGATTTAGGATAACTTGTTTTTTCCTTTAAAAAATCTGAAATGTTTGATGGGCTCTGCCTTCTGGGTCTCTGTAGTGCCAAGACGGGTTTTTGACAAATTTAATTTCTGCCAAGAACTCTGGTGGCATAGTCTGTAAGGAGTTACACTGTTAATCCAAAGGCTGAACCTCTATGGCGGTTTAAATCTGCCAGCGGCTCAGTGCGAGAGGGATGGACAGCCTCCTCCTGTGCCATTTACAGCCTCCAAAGTCCAATGAAGAGGGACCTGGTGGCCTAGTGGCAAGAAGCTGCACTGCAGTCCCAAAGGCACATGGTTCAAATCCACCAGATGCTACACTGGAGAAGGAGGGACAATCTCCCTCTGTGACAGTTGGATCTGATTTGACGGTACACGGAAAAATCCCAAAACAAAACAAAAAACAATGAAGGGTCAGCTATACATCAGTTTCAACCTGATAGCAATGAGTTTGAGTAATTTCTATAGTTTATGAATTTGGGTTGAAAAGCCATAGTTCCCTCCCCCCTCCCCTCCCCCTTGATCGTTTTACAAATATAAACTTATAGAGTTGGCTATGCCTATTCAAACTATACTCTCCCCAACTCAAAACTCAGCAGTGTTCCCTAGTCTGGAAGTCATATTCTTTCCTGGGCTCCAGGTTGCAACTGCCAGTCAGAGAAATGTTTCTAAATCCCCAATCTGGTTATACAGCTTCCTGTTTCAAACCCAGCCTCATAACCTGGCTTAACTATAAGACATGCAGGGCAGAGGGTAGATTTCCCCTATCCGCCCATGGCTGGGCACAGTGCCTGACATACAGCAGACATCAGAGTGAGCATCTGTGAACAAATGAATGAACAAATTCCCCATTGCATCCTCGGGTCTCACGGAGCCTTGAAAGCCTGGGTCCTGGGTGGCAGGCAATTCCAAGGGGAAAATCTCCCAATAAATGATCCACAAACATCTGAGTCTCTCAGAAGCTTTGAAAACTTTTCCTTGCTGCACCACTGCCCTAGTTAAGAGTCCTCTTTCACCTAGTCTTCCAGCACCAACCTGCATTTCCTCAGGGTGCTTTCCCAAGCTGGGGCTTGGCCTCTGCCTGGCCCTTACCTCTTCAAGCCAGCCTCTGTACACTCCCAGAATCCCATTCTTCCCTAGTTGGCTCTAAGGTCAGAAATCTATGAGTCTATTCATAATTAAGCCCTAGAAACTCTAATTTTAGACAACTAAGGTTGTCTTTTTTTCTCAAACTGGAGTATACTGTCCCTCTAACTGGCTTATATTTTTCAGAGGGCGGGCCCAGGGCAGGCAGATGTCAGTTTTGGGTCTCCCATGCCCATTCTCACTCCACTAACCTGGACAGCCTTCCTCAGGGAGCCGATGCCTTGGGGACTCCACACTATTCCTGGGCCTTGGAGTTCCACATCTCCTTCTAGCAGGACCAGCTTCTGGCCCCGGAACTCTGGCTCTTCATATAGCACCCAGCTGTGAGCACAGAGATCCCAGAGTCACTGGGTGAGAAGGATGTAGCCATAAGGCAGCTAATGGGGTTGATCTGGACAGTTCTCAGTCCCCCAACTTCCCAGGTTCACAACCAGCACCCCACTCACCTGCCTCGCACCACCCTTACGGAGGCCACGAGGCCCCAGTCTGAGGTGTCAGCAGTATCTTCCCAAACCTCTTTGCTCCTGCCTTGACAGCTGGGCTCTGAGAAGAGAATAATCTGGAAAAGGCATAGAGGGTGTCCATAGGACCTTTCCTCGACTTCCTGCCCCATCCCCACCTCCTGCCCTCATCCCCACTCCCCCTACCTTTCCAGGTCTGGTGTTCAGCTTGCCCTGGATCTTCAATGCTGGGCTCTGAGAGGAAGGGGAGTGATAAGAAGTCTTATCATTTCTGGGATCCCATATCCTCCCCTATTCTCCTGCACTCCAAGAGATTGACCCACAGAGGCTGTCACACTTGTTCCAAATTCTCATTAATTGGGGTCTCATCAACCCTATCCCAGGGGCTGGGTGCCCATCACTCCGCTCTCCAGCTTCAGAGTCACCAGGCCCTTTAGGATCCGGCTGTTCAGAAAGGGAGATTAAGGTTCAGAGAGAAGTAGATTGTGTACTGAACTAGATGTCTAGCCTCTGGAGACACTAACTCTCAATACAGTTCTTCTCACCCAAAGTCCTGACCCAAGTGAGGACCCTCCTTTGCCCTCCCAGACCTCACTCACCCACCCCTCCGGACGCTGGGCTCGGGATGGCCTCTCTGGCGCTGGCTTTTCACTGCAGAGCAGGGGCAACTGTCCCAGCACCTTCTTTAGTCCTGGCGCCCTGTGAGGCGGCAGGGCGGAGAGCTTTGTGCCCAGTGGCTCCAGGGTGGGTGTCTCCTTGGTGGTTAACATCAGACCACCAAACAGAAGGCTACCTCCAAGACGGGAAGTGAGCCTGCTGCCCAGCTGCCCATCCAGCCCCAGCTCTGAGTGGGAGCCTTTGGTGCCTGCTACATGCTTTTTCATCATTTCCAGAGGGGAGCAGAAGTCCTGAGGAGGCTTGGCAGGGTGGGGGTCCCAAGATGGGCCAGACTTTGCCTTCTCCTGCCGGTGCTGAAGCTTCTCATCATCGCTCAGGTAGGGGTTCTCTAGTTCTTCCTCTTCCTCCTCTTCTTTCCCCTCCTTCTCCTCCTTCTCCAGAGCAGGCACCTCATGGGGCCTGGGTCCCAGCACCCACGGCCCAGGCTGGTCCTCCTCGATAGCAGGCAGTGTGGCGTACATGGCCAGATAGGAAGAGCGTGGGGCTCGTGGCAGCCGATGTGTGCGAAGGATCTCAGGGGGCTCCATGCTCCGTAGGGTATCCAAGAAAATCTCCAGATCTGCTGTCAAGGCCATCTCATCCTCGTCCCTTGATGGCTCTGATGGCATCTTGTCCTTGCTGGAATTGGGAACAAGCTGGGACGGCAGGTTGTCCTCTGCTCCCAATGGCACAGGTGATTGGGGGCCTTCTGGGCTGGGGGATACCTTGTCTACTGCAGAGGGTGAGGTAGGGAGGACAGCAGGACCTTGGACAGCCACTTCCTCTGTAGACAACAGGGCAGCAGAAGCAGCAGAGTCTTCTGCCTCATTTTGGGTGGGAGAGGAGAGGGGGCTGGCTGCAGGGTCCAACATAGTCTTTGCCTGTTTAGGGGGTACAGAAGCAGGATCAGGGAGATCTTGGACAATCTCTTTCTTGGTGAGAAAAGAGGCTAAGCGGCCTTCAGCACTCTGGACAGCCTCTTTTTGAGTGGAGGCTGAGCTTGGACTGGCCTCTGGGTCCTGGACAACCATGGTTGATTTTGTGGGGGAGGCAGTAAGTGCATCAGGGCTGGGCTTGGCCTCTTTCTGGATGAGAGGTGGGTCAGTATAAGCACTGGGGCCCCGTGCAAGGTCTTTCGGGGTAAAAGAGAAAACAGAAGTATCTTCAGAGTCCTGAATAACCCTATTACTTGGGGAGGATGGAACTGGAAGGCATCCTGAGCTGGAAGCAGTCTTCCTATTTACAGAGAATGAAGTAAGAATTTGCTCAGGGACCACGGGGGCAGATGGGGTATCTGGGAGCAAATCCTTCTTTAAAGAGGGCAAGTCAGGAGGCACCATGGACTTGAGATGATGCTGGGTCCTGAGGTGAGTGGGCACCACAGGCTGCTTTGGGGATTGCACTGGGTCCAAGGGAGGGGGATGGATCTCAATTCTGGGACAGAATGGCCTTGGTACTGGGTCCTGAGGAGTCTGGGGAGAGAGTTGAAGGGGACTGGAGGCTTCCTGCACCCTGAAGCCCTCATGGGTCCTGGACTCCAGAGCTCTGCTCTGGTCTTGGTCGGGGTGGGCTGCAGGAACAAGTTGGTATTGAGGTAGGTGAGCTCCCTCTGGGACGCCCACAGGGCCCAGGTTCGATCTGTCCTTTGGCTCTGATGCTTCAGTCTCAGGCAGTCGCCCCAGGACTGCCCCTCCTGTGCCACCCAGCCCTGGGCTCCTGGGCACAGCGACTGTCGGCCTGGGAAGCCGACTGGCAGGCGGGCTGCGCTCTGTAGGCACAAGGCTTGTTAGCAACTCCAGGGCCTGGCTGCGGCTGGGTGAACCCTCAGCCTGGGGATTCACCACCACTGTCCGGATCTTGCGGACCGTATTGCGCCCCCTGGATAGGGCCTCAGCCGGCAGCACCGGATTCATGGCCACAGAGCTTTTCACCCTGCGCTCCACCTGCCCTGCCACCACTGTGGTGGTCCTCACAGTCCGTGTCACCCGCCGTTCCTCTTGGATCCAGGGCCCCTCGCTGGGGAGTCCCATACATGGGTGAGGGCTTGGCTCCCGGGGCCCAGGCAGGGGCACCAAGAGCTCGGTCCTGGCCATGGTGCCTAAGCCTGGGGGCTCCATCCTGGGAGGCTGAGGGCTGCCGTCACCCTGGTCCACAGCCTCCTTCGGCCTCCCCACTGGCCTCTTTTCCTTGGGGGGTGGGGTGTACTTCTTGGAAAAGATGGGACCATGGCTCTGAAAGCTCTTCACGCCAGCCCCGTCCCGGGGCCCCTGGTAGGTCATGGTCTCCTCTTCCCGCGTGGTGAAGCCATTGACTTCTTCCCGTTGGTGGTTGTACTCCAACATCTCCTCCCGAGGGGCTTCCATCTGTGACCCTGACACCAGAGACATCTTGTGAAAACGGTGTCTGCTCTCTTCCTGGGCAGGAGGCCGCTGTCGCCACATCAGTGTGGCACTCACCACTCGGGCTTCGGCCCGGGCCTGGGGCCCACCTGCCTCCTCCATGCTGGGCCCCAGTAACCTGTCTTGAGGTGTCCTTGTTTCACTGTGAGCCAGTTCCCTGCGGGGTGATGCCAAGAAGAAGAAAGATGAGGGCCTAGGAATGGTGAAGGTAGCTCCTCACAGTATAGCTTACTCTTATCGAGGTCAGCCTTGCCTGGGCTACCTTGAACAAGTCATATGACTTTTGAGTCTTTGTTTTCTCTTCTGTAAAATGGGCATAACAGTCTCAACTCTGAACTGCTTCATCAGGGCCCCTCATCCACCCATCTCTTCACAGGGTTGTTTAAAGGACTAAGCTAAGGCCTAAGCCTGGAAGCAAGAAAAGAGCAGGGGGGAAAAACCCTGTGAGTTTCTCTATGTTAATAAGGGAGCTCTGGTGGCTGTAGGGAGTTGCACTGCTAACTCAAAGGCCATGCTTTTCACCAGCAGCTCTGAGGAAGGAAGATGGACAACCTTCTGTGTGGTTTATAGTCTCCCGAAAACCCTCTGGAGGAGGGTCAGCTCGGAGGTGATTCCAACTCAGTAGCAATGGGTCTATGAGTGAACATTTCTATGTTAATAGCAATACCGACAATAGCAATCACTTATTGAGGATCTGCTTTATTTGAAGGAGCCCTAGTGGCACAGGAAGTAAAGCATCCAGTGTTTTGAACCCATAACTGCTCCACACTGCAGGAGAAAGATGTGGCCGACTTCCAGCTTCGGAAACCCTGTGGAGCAGTCCTACAGGGTTGCTGGTCGGCTTGGTGGGTTTACTCTGTGTGAAATCTTTTCTCTAAGCTTTATAATGATTGTCCTATTGAATCCAGAAGCCTATGAATTTGATACAACATAAAGAATAAATTACTAATAAGCTAGAAACAATTCCATTCTACAGATAAGGGGCGGAAAGGCTCAGATATAGTAAATAATGTGTCCAGAATTAGGCAGTAGCAGAGTGAGGACTTGAACCCTAGTCCTAAAGTCCAAGTACTTAATACTAAATTTCTTAATGTTTTTACCTGATAAACTAGACTCTCTGGAATTAGAATTTGTTTTTGAAGAATGCCACAGCACTCCTGGAGGGGCTGCTTTCCCATCTCCTCATTTTAGGCATCCCTTCCAGCTGCACTGACCTGGAGAATTCTATTTTCAGACCCCAAGGGCTCTAGAAAGGCCTGCCTGATCATCCCCAGTCTCAGGGCCCTACTATTTTCAGGTCTGCACCTCCTTTCCACAAGGCAGCCCTCAGAGAGCCCACCCAGGACCAGAACGGATCCACTGACCCCAAGATCCTAGAGAAGGGGTTCCCCCTCCCCCACCTCCGTCTGTCTTCACTCTCCTGAGAAGCTGGTGGAACACAGACCTTTGACTCTGCCCTGTGTCCCCAGCAGTGACTCAGGTTTTATGAGGGGCAGAGATGACAGAGACTGAGGTCCAGGGAAGCCACTAAAGCTTACTTCAGGTCCACTGACTTTAGGACCACTGCAGCTATGGCAGTGCCTGACCTGGCCAGGACACTTGGGGTTGAGGGTTGAAAGGGACCCCATAGATATTTTCCTCAGGCTTCCTGAGAGGACACCAAACACCTGAGGCCTTGAAGCTCAGCCCTTCGCTGAGGCCTCTGCTTGTTCCCAAATCTCATTACCAAGGCTTCTTATTCTCATGGAACTCCTATTCTCCTCACAAGCAGTCTCCTATATGGAACTTCTTCCCTTCATTAAGGCTCCCATGAGTCTCCTCCCTATCACTATGGTGGCCTAGTGGCAAAAAGCTGCGCTGCAATCTCAACGGCACACAGTTTGAATCCACTAGCTGCTCCGCGAGAGAAGGATGGGTAATCTCCTCTTGTGCGATTCATTGCCTCTGAAAACCCGCTGGAGGGTCAGCTATGGGTTGGTTCCGACTCAATGGTACACAACAACAACAACAACAACGACTACTACTATTCGCTAGAGAGCTCTGCTGGCCTAGTGGCAAGAAGCCATGCTGTAATACCAATAGCAAGCAGTTTATTAAATCCACAAGCTGCTCCATGGGAGAAGGATGGGGAATGTCCTCCCGTGTGACTGAAAACCTGCTGGAGGGTCAGCTATGGGTCGATTCCAACTCAATGGCACACAACAAGTATTCACTATGATTAATTGTCCCTAGTAGTACTGCTAATAAGTAGCAAAGCCTGGGTTCATTCATTCATTCACTCATTTGTTCAATACTAATTGTGGCAGGTTAAAATGATAGGCATGGATTAAGCTCATCCAAAACTAAAAGTCTCCATTAATATGGTATCTGAGGAGTCCAGGGATCAAACAACTGGATGTAAAAAAGCAGGAAGCACATCAGCCTTGTGGGCTTTTACAGAAAGTGGCCAATTTCAAAGGATGCCAATGATAATCAGATCAGATTTTGTCAAAGACCTCCAGATTATCAGAATTCAAGGCTTTTCTCATCTCAGCCCAACCCAACCCCTGGACAACACCCCTAACAGTCACTCATTCCAGAAGCATGTGGTCACTTGCTTCTGCTTGCATACCTCTAGGGACAAGGAGGTCACCACTAGAGAGTTCACCAGTCCCATCCCTGGACATTCATGACTGTCAGAATAGTCTTCAAATTATGCTGGAATCTGTTTGCCTGTAACTGCCCTCTTCCCTGGTCCTTGCTCTGAAAACACCTTAATCGCCCTGATATCTCTCTTGGGCCAGCCCACATGCTTATTCCCAGAAGCCCTCTCTTCTCCAGGGCCCCTGAATGAGAAGTGGCTTTGTTGGCATGGTGACCTGTGATCTCTAAACAAGATGTGTGGGGCTGGGCAGGGAGAGGCTGAGGAGGGGGCGGGGGGAGTGTGGGAAAGAGTTCTGTCTAACCCGACAAGTCCTGGATTCTCCCCACTTACCTGTGAGTCACCCCCAAACTAGGCCAAACCAGTCCACGGGCCCACACACCAGCAAACACATGCTGCGTCACACAGGCACACACCGACACACACCAACACAGAGCCACTGACTCACACGGGCACAGAAACACACAGATGCTTATAGTTCACGGTCATAAACACATGCAGAGACACAAAGACATGCACAGCCACTGACACGATAGCAGAGTTTGAAACAAACCACATACACAGAGCATACAAACACAATAAAACACACATCCACAATACAAAGTTCATTCACAGTCACGAGGAAATTAACACTTGAACATATACACAAGTGTGCACACACTTCTTTCACACCTCCTTTTGCAGCCTCAACAGTGTCCTCTGTGTGTGTGTGTCTACTTGTACCCAGAGAATCCACCACAGAAAGGGGCCAGACGGTGTGAAGTCATGGCGGTCATCTTCCTCCCTCTAACTGATCTCTGGCCTCCCACCTGAGTCTGTCATTATTCACCTGGGTCCAAAATAGCCAAGGCGTGGCAAGGAGAGCCTTGCGTCCCCCAGCTCAACCTCCCACTTTTTCCCTTCCCACCCTCACCCCGATTCAGGTCTCCTACACCCACCTTCCCTCTCTCAGCAGCCCTACTCTTCCCAGGCTGGGGCACACATGTCTCAGGACAGGCCCACTGACTCCAGCCTGGAAAGCTCGGGCATTCTCAATTCTGCTTCTGCTAATAACCCAAACCTCCTTGTTGATGAGTTGATTCTGATTCAGAGTGATCCCTACTGGTGGAGTAGAACCACCCCCTTAGGCTTTCCATGGATGTAAGTATTTATAGTAGCAGACTGACACATCTTTCTCCTGAAGAGTGGTTGGTAGGTTCAAAATACCAACCTTGGGGTTAGCAACCCAATGCTCACCATGCTACATGGGCCTCTTCTCCTAATAACAGTGACTGCCAAATCCACCTCGAGAGAATCACAGAAAACCCTAGAGCCCACAATCAACCAGTCATACACAGCCCTAGGGTTTCTGCATAGAGCCAACAAGGCCTTCTCGAGAGAACAGAGTGGTGCATAAAGCACAGGCATTACTCACAGAGGACCTAAGTTCAAATTCGGGCCTTTCTACTTGTCTGACTTTGGCCAACAGAATGAAACAATCTGAGCCCAAATTCCTATATTATAATTGGTGACAGGGGAGGAGGGGGCAGTATTACCCCATTTCATGGAGCTGTCATGAGGATTAAATAAAATTATGCTTAGGAAACAATTCAGAAACGAAATCATAAATGGTAACTACCACCATCACAATTAGGAACTGTTGGAAACCTACCTGGTCATCCTGGTTGGGGGCCGTATTCATCCCCTTCCCAATTAGCTTTGAGGCAGCTGTCCCTCCACCTCTGCGCCCACCAGGCAGATTTATGTGAGTCATTTCAACGCAAATAAAAACCAAGGCTTAGGAGTCTGACCTGTACCTGTAGCCACCAGCACAGAGCCAGGTGGGGTAATTATCACTGCGACCAAGGCGTTATTAATACGCATCCCTGCTGTTTCAGCAGCCCAACTCTCTGGAGTTCAAAGCATGTTCCTATAACCACCTCCTCCTTCTTCATTTCCAGCTACCAAGTCCATTCGACAGCTCAAGTCCCAGATTGGTTAAACAACTAGCCCCAGGACACCCAGTATGTTGGCTGGGTGCAAATTCCCAGGCTGGGTCTGAGGCCTCCTAGACAAAGCTGAAAGTGGCAGGTGTCGCTGAGAAAGTGGCTCATCCTCTCTGGGAAGGAGCCTCCCCCATGGTGGGCAAAGGAGGAGAGAAGCAGCAGCCTGAGGGTACGAGGGGGAAAGAGGAGGGGAAGGGGGAAAAAGGAGGGGAAGGGGGGTAGCAGTTAGCTCAGGCTCAGGGAGCTAGATGAATGAATTCGAGCTGGAGAAGTTCAGGGACAAGGAGGGCAGAGAGACTCAGGATGGAGCCACCAGGCCCATCTCCCCTCCCACCATTGCCCCTCACAGGGACAGCTCACCGTCTGTGTGAGGACTCAGGTGTCCAGCCGGTCAGGAGCTCCTGTCGCTGGACTGTGCTTCTCTGATGCAGTCCAGCTTTCAGCCGGGAGTCCTGGGGCGGGTTAGTTGGGCACCC